TTTGCCATGTTCTCTCCAGCGAAGTTCTTCTGTCTCTAGAGAACGTTCTGTGTAGGTTCTGTGCCTAGGTTCTGTCTCTCTTAGTTCTGTGTTCTAAGTTCTGACTCTTGCTGTCTAGTTACAACTGTATTTATACCAGTTGATTCAATCCTATCAATCTCTATTCCAAAGGTTAGGGCGTTTCTTATCTTCATTCCAGGGAGTAAAGATTATGTAGCTTAAGCATGATTGTTCATAGTTAAAGTGATCAATTACCCGCCTGGCACTTAGTTAAGAGGTTTTATTCCCTCCCTAACTTCAGGGGAAAATCCCTACCTGGGGAAAGAACCTTTCTCAGAGACCTTGGTTAAAACACATAGTGCCAAGAAGGTGAGCAAACATATTAAAAACAGTATGCCATATATGCCAGGTCCCTTGAAACAGCAAGCATGGACTGGCTCCCGGCAATCCACCCATCCACCATCCACCCATCCACCATCCACCCATCCACCCATCCACCTACCATCCACCCATCCACCCATCCACCCATCCACCCACCATCCACCATCCACCCATCCACCATCCACCCATCCACCATCCACCCATCCACCCATCCACCATCCACCCATCCACCATCCACCATCCACCCATCCACCATCCACCATCCACCCATCCACCCACCATCCACCCATCCACCCATCCACCACCCACCATCCACCATCCACCCATCCACCATCCACCCATCCACCCATCCACCATCCACCCATCCACCACCCACCATCCACCCATCCACCCACCATCCACCCATCCACCCACCATCCACCCATCCACCCATCCGCCCATCAACCCATCATCCATCCGTTCATCCATTGTCTACCCACTCACCCACCCATCCATGCCATAGTGCTTGCTGTTCTCTGGAGACCCCTGACTGGCACGCAGCCATGTGCAGGGCGTTGGGTGAAGAGCTGTGGTGGGGGTGGGGGTGGGGGTGGGGAGAGGGTGGGCCCTGCGATGATTTGGGCCTGGGAGAATTTGCAGTCAGTAATGAGCTCTTACATTGAGCTGAAAGAATCCAGGCCTTTGTTCCTTATTGCCCACGTCTGCCCTCTAGAGGCCCGTGGAGGCCCCGCACCTCTGGGATCGGATCCTCCCTGAATCCTTTGGGGTTTTCTGCGGAGACGCAGGTGGCATGTTCCTGTCCCTCCACGGCCACTTTCCACGTCGCTGGGCAGCCCAGTCCTGTTGCCGTCGGCAGCGAACGTTCCTTTCAGGTGCGCTGAGGCCGCTTGACCGTGTTTGGCCGTTCGATGACCAACAGAGGAGCAAAGGTTAATGAGTGGAGGGAGCTGCGCCCCCATCCTGGTTCCCTCACAGCCGCCTCCCTGAGGCCTGGAGACTCAGGGAGACACCTGCGCCCGAGGCCTATGCCGCCTGCAGTGCCGGGGCCTTGGTCGCCCCCGGTGCAGATGGAAAACCCGGGCGGGAGGCTCTGAGCGACCTGCCCGGACCTGCAGCCAGTCAGGGAGGGGCAGGAGCTGCCACCAGGTGCCAGGCACTGACCTGTGCCCCCCACGGGGACTCGGGGACCCCAGGCCTCTACTGGGCAGCTGCACCCCCTGCTGCTGGCCGCGCGTGGCCCCGGCTGGAGGGGCTTGAGGTGGCTCCTCGCCTGGCTAACCAGGTTGGGGTCAAGCGCAGAGCTTCCGGCGCCCTCCGGCCCCAAGCCCCCGCGTCCGCAGGCTCTGCTGGGGGACCGCCCGCGTCCATCTGCAGCGCTAGTGCCGGACGCAGGCGGAACGTCCTGCTCCCTCCTCACCGTGTCCAGGCCGCCCGTCCTCCTCCCCCTTGGCCTCTGAGGGTTTATACAGAAACGGACCTGGGCTTTGGAACATGACAGACAGAGGGAGGCACCTCACCAGGTCTGCAACCGGGCAGCGGCCTTCCTCTCTGGGCCCCCGTCTCCCCACCTGTACTGAGGGGAGTGAGAGTCCTGTGCCTGGCCACCCCTTGGACGATCAGTGCCCTCGCAGGCCTGACTGCCGGAGGGGCCTTTACCGGCAGGTCCCCGTGAGGCCCCACTCTCCCTGCCCCATGGCGGGGCCCCAGGGGTGGGTGACTCCACCCAGTGTCCTGAGCTGCTGTTCTCCCGCCGGCCCGGAAGCCAGAAATCCAAGATCCGGGTGCCGGGGTGGTTCCTGTTCTCTGGAGACCCCTGACTGGCACGCAGCCATGTGCAGGGCGTTGGGTGAAGAGCTGTGGTGGGGGTGGGGGTGGGGTGGGGGTGGGGTGGGGACCCCACCCCTCTCTCGGCTCCTGGGACTCTGGTCCCGGTGCCCTCAGCTGTCATGCTGACTCCGCCTCCTGGTCACGGCACTTCCCTGTCTGTCCTCACGGCTTTTCTCTGCTTCCCATGAGCCGGCCCTGATGGCCCTGTCCTAACTTGACTAATCCCACCTGCAAGGGCCCTGTCTGCAGAGAAGGCGGCGTTCCGAGGGGGAAGCACTGGTGCTGGGGTCACGGCGACAGGCAGGTTGCCGAGGCGTGTCCGTGAGCCTCTGAGCTGAGTGCAGGGTTCCCATGGCGATGGTCGGAGAGGAAGTGAAGTTTGGCTGTTCATGTGGCAACTGACCGCTCTGGCCACAGCGATGGTGGACACCAGGGCCAGGGAGCAGCCCCGCACGAGATGCTCAGAGGACCAAGCCAAGACGACCCTGGAAGGTGGTGCCAGCAGGCACAGCTCCCGGGCACAGGGGATGCGTGCAGATTAGCCTCGTATTTTCTAGAACCTTCTGCTGCACACTCAGTACCCTCTTCACTGCCTTCGATGCCTCTGCTCAGGAACGTACTTCTGTTAAATGGTTTTTTAAGAAAACATCTGGGCTGTTGCTTATACCAAACCTCTTCCCGTCCCAGCTGAACCCCAACTCGGTTATGAAACTGAGTCGTCTGAGCATCTGCACAGAAGGCTCTACGTCCGGAGCATTAAAGGGACAGTGTCGCGCTGGCCGGTGGCTCAGCGGCGGGAGCGTCCGCCTGTGGGCTGGAGCGTTTCGTGTGGATTCCTGGCCAAGGGCAGGTTCCCAGCCCCGGTCCGGGCGCATGCGGGAGGCGACCGGTCAATGTGTCTCTCACACTGAGGTCTCTCTCTCTCTCTCCACCCTCCTACCCCCCCTTCCACTCTCTCTAGAAATCAATGGGAAAAATATCCTTGGGTGAGGACTCAAAAAAATAATAAAATGAAGGGAAACTTGTCTATTATTGCAAAAAGCCTGTGGTTATTGGAGGACTTTGGGCACTTTCCTCACAGACACTCCGTGTGTGAAGTCACCATCAGCTCTCCAAACCGGAGCAAATGGCCTCTGTGCCGAGGAGAAAGTGCACGTCGCTGATGGTGACACTAATATTCCTGCCGTCGGCTCGGCCGTGTAACAGAACCCACAGGCGGCAAAGCAACCGGAGTCTCCTCCTCACCATGGTGGCAGCTGGAGGTCAAGATCCAGGCGCCCGATGGTCCTGTGTCCAGTGAGGGCGGCATCCAGGTGCGCAGACGGGGGTGAGTCCTCCAGGTGTAGAGATGGGGGTGTGTCCTCCAGGTGTGCAGACAGGTGTGTCCTCCAGGTGTGCAGACGGGGGTGTGTCCTCCAGGTGTGCAGACAGGTGTGTCCTCCAGGTGTGCAGACGGGGGTGTGTCCTCCAGGTGTGCAGACAGGTGTGTCCTCCAGGTGTGCAGACGGGGGTGTGTCCTCCAGGTGTGCAGACAGGTGTGTCCTCCAGGTGTGCAGACAGGTGTGTCCTCCAGGTGTGCAGACAGGGGTGTCCTCCAGGTGTGCAGACAGGGGTGTGTCCTCCAGGTGCAGAGATGGGGGTGAGTCCTCCAGGTGTGCAGACAGGGGTGTGTCCTCCAGGTGCAGAGATGGGGGTGAGTCCTCCAGGTGTACAGACAGGTGTGTCCTCCAGGTGAGCCTGACAGGTGTGTCCTCCAGGAGTGCAGACGGGGGTGAGTCCTCCAGGTGAGCCTGACGGGTGTGTCCTCCAGGTGTGCAGATGGGGGTGTGTACTGTGTCCTCCTGGGTGGCTGGTAGGAGGGTTGCTGAATTCTGGCTGGAAGCGGTGGGGTGATAGGTAGCACTGCTTTTGAGGGGAGGGTGGGGGAGAGATTGAGCTCCCCTGGGACAAGGGCACCCATCCCTCATCAACTTCCAAAGTCCCCACCCCCTGTTACCATCCCATTGGGGCTTCGGTTTCAAACTATGAAACTGGGGGGATTCCATAGTCACTCCCATGGGAAAGGTACCGTCTGGCATAAGGAAGTGCAGGAGGTGGAGCCGCATTCACATGCCCCCGCCTGTGACCTGGGAGCTGCCTGGCCAGGCTCCATACCTTCCGGCCTCAGACCTCGGTGCCGTCACGGCCACCAGCACCGACATGCATCCGTTTTCATCTTAGCGCCTTTTCTCGGGGTCGTGGACGATGTTTTAGCGCCTGCATTTCCGAGGAGGTGTCTGGTACCCATGACTCTTGGTTTACAGAGGAAACCGGTCCACCTTCTGCTTGTTAACAATTTAACAAAAAGCACCCTGGCAGCCGCAGCGGCTGTGGCGCAGCCCAAGGCGCCCGTGTCCACAGCCCTCCCGGGCCATGGCCCTGCCGCTGCAGCAGGTCACTGTCCCCGCGGGGCAGCCCTCAGGAGGAGCGGCCTCGGAGAGCAGGGGTCCTGGGACGCACTAACCTGAGCTGGTCTGGAATGAGGGCGGGACGAGGGCTGTGAGGAGGGAGAGCAGGAGGGATCCTCCGCGGACAGCCGGTGTGGGTGCCCCTCGGCCTCCTGGGTGTGGGTGCTGTTCAGAATGTCCCTGACCTGGGAGAGAGCTCACGGAGACGCGTGACATGTCCTGGGCCGGGGCAGTGACACCAGGGGGGAGCTAACCCTCCCCAAATGTGGCCACCCCTTGGGGCCCTGTGCCCTCCTGGGACCCAAATGGTGCGGCCCCGAAAGAAGACACAGACCCGGCTGGAGATCCGTCGTGCTACAAATGTGGCAACACCTTTTATTTCGAGGAAAGATGTGTGAACATCAGCATGACAAAGTTTGTACAAAGTCCACAATTTAAAAATGAAGTATCACTGCAACTCGTGATTCCACACATTTTAGCAAAATTAAAGTGTCAACAAACCCATGCCGTGTCGTACAAAAATAAATCAAACTTCAGTTCCACAGAGCACAATAAATATTTATACAAAATTCTGTCTTAATAAATGGTCACTTAAATTAACTTAGAAATGAATATGAACAATAAGTTATAATAAATAAACTCTGATGACTCACGATAATTCCATATGAAAGGTCAGCATTCTAGTATGAGACACTGTGATCCCCTATATAACATCACAGGTAACTTTGATTGGATATTATTACCAATGTTAGGTGAGCAGCAGATTTGTGCTTAAAACCCCTTTCCATTGTACACAGGTGATAACAAAACCGAGACTACCTATTACTCTACGAGAAGCATCACTATATGGCGAGAAGCTGCAGACACACGGGGATGCAGAGGCCGATATGAACAGCGGCGGCGGCCGGGGCCTGGCAGCAGGCGCCGGCCCTGGCGTCAGCTCTCGAAGGCAATTCTGAGCGTGGCAGCTACGACTACGGCGAACAGAGAGGGCCCCGAGCAGCTGCAGAGCCCCAGTCGTTACACACCTTTTCCCAGCTCGTCCCTGGAGTCCTCGTGAGAATGGAGTGTGTGTACAGTGAGCGTATAAAGTGCCGCTGGGATGTGGTTATATACATGTCCACGAGGTCGGGCATTGGATCAGAGTCTGTGGGAGGCCCGGCAGCCCCCTCAGCACGGCGTCGGGTCCGCCCGCGGGCCCCGGGTCCTCCGGGCCGGCGTCGCGAGGCTGGGACGCGGATTGCACACCTCTGCTCGGACACAGAGGACAGGTGAGTGCAAATAGTCGACTGGCACGTTGTGGGGACAATGACCCTGTAAGTCCTGTTCTGCTAAAAATATTTTTTTAATTTTTACAAAACCCATCTTTTTTTCATAACAAAATTTTAAAGTACTTTTGTACTTCCTGTGTGACATCTAGACATGGAAGGAAGTGATGCCATGATACGGCCGGGAGTCCTCGGGGCAGACCGGTCAGTCTCAGGTCGCCGGGGACACGGTGGTCTCCGGGGGCAGACACGTCCGGGGAGCTCGCGACAGAGAAAGTGCTGAAGGACATCCAGGACACCTACTTGGAGGCCCCGTCCTCGGGCAGCTCGGGCAGCCGCTGGCAACCCTCCGTGGCCGCTGCCTCCACACAGGCCGGACTCCAGGGCCTGGGGAGTGAGCCCCCAACGGGGCCAAAGGCTCACCGAAGCCGGAGTCGGTGGGAGGGAGGGTTCTGAGCAGCTTTGCCACCGAATCCAGCAGAAAATTCAGTCCCGTAACTCGAAGACTCACAAGTCCTTTCCCTTTATGCCCCAAATGCAAAATAATCACAACAGCAATGACAGTGTTGAAGGTGGAGGGGGAATAAGTACTCGTGAGTGAGCTCTGAGCGGAGTGAGCGCGGACTCCTTGGCCAGGCCTCCCTGCAGCAGAGCCAGTGGAGGCAGGGACGCGGGAGGATGGCTCGGAGTTCACTGGGGGGAGAAGTCTTCGCTGCCTCCTGCAGCCCCTGTGGGAGCTCTGTTCCCAGGTCTCACACGCCACGCTCAGGAGCAAACCAGAAGGTGCTGCGTAAGCTGCTTTGCATCTTCTGCCAAGTGTCCATGGCTTGATGTTCTTACAACAAATTACTTATCTCATTTCTTACAGTTAATCCATATGCCATTTCCTTGGAATTCAAAAAACCTCACTTATTGCCCCCACCATACACCATCCTCCTAAAACAAACAAACAAAAAAATCACATAATATTTCCAAGCATTGTTCAAAAATAAAGCATTTTTTTGCAAACAATTCTTGCTATGAAACAATATGCACACAAAATGTACTTCTTAAATTCCATAAAATCCTCCAACACGAGGTGAAATGACGATGTCTGAAACGTGGCTGCACCACCTCATGGTCATTCAAAGCCGTTTCTTTTTGTCCATTTCAGTTCAAAATACTAAAACATTTAACCGCTAAGCATTAAAAAGAATGTACACTCTATTTTGATCAGCTTACCTCTTCAGAAATATATATATCCCCCCAAATGTGCACACATTAGCAGCTATGAACATGACATGGAGAACCACACTATGTCGCTCATGTGAAACGTACGCAACGTGAATGTGTCCACACTATGTGCAGGTGCTATTGTGAGAGCGGGACGTGAGGCCATGGAGTCTCTGGGCGGGACACTCGGACAGACATGCGCACGGGTGCGCTCGGGCGGGGCAGCAGCAGGGCGACAGGCGTCCTTTCTAGCAGGTTCCGCCACTACGTCACTGAGCAGCTGGTCAGACCTGAATTCCTCTCACAGCCTGCTTTATATTTTCCAGGAGGGCTTTATTTTCTGGGCTCTGATAACGATCTTGATTTGTATACATGTCCGTCAAAGTAGTCACGTATGCATCAAAATTTTGTTCATTGATTGGGTCCTACGAGATATTAAATAGTAGTTCATACACAGCTTTTATTTTCTTCATAGGAATTCACATTAGCATAAAAAGCATCACAGCCTAGGCCACTGTCTGCATCGTATTAAAGGCCTCCTCGGAGCACACTTACTCTACGGGCGCCCTGACCAGCCACCAGCGCTCTATGCAGGCAGCGCCATGGTGGGCGTCTCCGCGAGCGGTCACCACAGACATCTCCTCCCGGTGGCTGGGCAGCCACCAGTGCCGCCTGCACTCTCAGTCACTTACCACGGCGGCAGTTGGGTGTCAGCCAGACTGTGGGTCAGGGACCGGCCAGGTGGGCAGTCGGGAGCCGACTCAGTCACTTACCATGGCAGCAGCTGGGTCTGAGACTGTGGGTCAGGGGCTGGTCAGGTGGGCACGCAGGGAGGAGACTCAGTCACTTACCATGTGCGGCAGCTGGATGTTGGCCAGACTGTGGATTAGCGACTGGCTCAGGTTCGCCAGCTCGTGCAGCAGAGACTCGTTCTGCTGCTCGATCACTTTGTTCTCCTCCTCGATGGTCTTCAGGCTGCTCTCCATGGTGGTGATCTGAGAGGCACAAAGTGTGGACACAGGGAGCTGGGCTCCGCCCACAGGGAGGGGCACGTCTACCGATGCAAAGAGAGGATCTCTTTGCTTAAATAAAAAGGCTTCAGAGGTTAAGAATCTGTCATTTTATGGGGTTGGCCTTCCTGCTCATCCCACACAAACACCAGCAACCAGGTGACCGATGGCCACTGGCTCCAGCAACGCCCCCCCTAAAACTGCAGAGACCGATGTGGGGAAGCACAGGGAAAATGAGCAAAGCCAAAGGGCACCTCCCAGTGCTGGTCCTTGAGGTGGCAGGAGCAGCTGGAGCACAGGTGGAAGGGGCTGGAGCCCAGGGGGCAGGAAGGGGCTGGAGCCCAGGGAGCAGGAAGGGGCTGGAGCCCAGGGGGCAGGAAGGGGCTGGAGCACAGGGGGCAGGAAGGGGCTGGAGCACAGGGGGCAGGAAGGGGCTGGAGCACAGGGGGCAGGAAGGGGCTGGAGCACAGGGGGCAGGAAGGGGCTGGAGCACAGGGGGCAGGAAGGGGCTGGAGCACAGGGGGCAGGAAGGGGCTGGGACACAGGGGGCAGGAAGGGGCGTGACTGACCTGAGTCCTGAGCTTGATCATGTCGGCCTCCATCTGTGAGTTGGACTCGTTCAGCTCCTTGATTTCTTCGTCCAGCTGTTTGATTTCTTCGTCATTCTCTATCCCTGCCCCGGCGAACATAAACCAAGTGCATTATAACTCTGCTCAGGGAACACCACGTGAGAATCCCCAGTTTTCTTATTTAAGACTAGTGACCCGGTGCACGGATTTGTGCACATTGAAAGGAAATTAATTAGAAGGCGGCTGACGGGGCGGGACTGGGCAAGATGGGCTGGACACGCCCTGGAGCCAACCTCCTGCGGTCCCTCCCCGGCGTCTGCAGAGTGAGGGGGGTCCCTCCGGCAGGTGGGGTCCCTCGGCCTGGCCTGTGGGGATCGGGTCGAAACCGGCTCTCCGACTCCCCCCCGAGGGGTCCCGGAGTGGGAGAGGGCGCTCTGCAAAGCTGCTGCTGTACAGGGTGTGGAACGCAAACACAAGTGTGCAGTGACCAGATTCAGGACTGACAGTGCCCCAGCAACAACATAGCCCACGGCTGATGTGCCCCACGAGGAATCGGGCTCCCTCCTCTCTGGTTTCGGGGTGCATCACCCGAGAACCGCTGCTGCCAAGTCACTGCAGCTCGGCAGCTGCTGCATTGAGCGTCTGCCCCCTGGTGGTCAGTGTGCATCATAGCGACATGTCAGATGGTCAGACACTTAGCATATTAGCCTTTTATATAGATAGAAAATAGTCATGTTTGCGTGTCCTTCTGTCCCCAACCACTGCCCTCCTTTCAGTTAAGGCCCTAAAACCAGACACAATCAGCTGGGGTGCGCAGACAGCACTGAGGGTCACCCTCCGGGGTGACTGACCGGAGCCGCGGGGGTGACCTCACTCGGCCAGGCGCGCGCTCGGGGACACACTTTCCTTGGCTCTGCGCTTGTCCTGAGGGTCAGAGTGCTGGTTGGGGTTACAAGTCACTTTTGGCAAGTGGGCGAGTGCACAGGGATGGAACTGCAGGTCCCCGAGGCTGGCACGTCCTCCACGCCTGATGGGGTGGCAGCACTCAGAGGAATGGACTTTGCAGACGGATCAGGAACCCCAGGCCTGGGGGGCTCAGAGAGAAGGCGGAGCGGAGGGGCCCCGACTCTGGTCCTGGGGGAGGCCGGATGGGGCAGAGGCACCAAAGGGGAGCCTTGGGGAGAAACCGCTAGAACCCCGGGTGTGGGACTCCTGAGGCACTGCTGTGACTGGTGAGGTGATGGGTGCTTGGGGAGGACTCTCCCGGGTAACAGGCTTTATCTTAAGGGACAGACCTGGTCCGTCCCACTTGGTCTCTAACTGTGCTCAGATGTGGTGAAGCCAGCGGACCGAGCGCCGACCTGTGACTGCGGCCAGTCCTGAGCTGGGGTGGGGTGGGTGTGGGTGGTGGTAGTGGTGTGGGTGATATGGGTGTGGGTGATGTGGGATGGGTGGTGTGGATGCTGGTGTGAGGGTGTGGTGTGGGTGTGGGTGGGTGAGGTGTGGGTGTGGTGTGGGTGTGGGTGGTGGTAGTGGTGTGGGTGTGGGTGATGTGGGGGTGGGTGGTGGTAGTGATGTGGGTGGTGGTAGTGGTGTGGGTGGTGGTCGTGGTGTGGGTGGTGGTCGTGGTGTGGGTGATGTGGGGGTGGTAGTGGTGTGGGTGGTGGTGGTGGTGTGGGTGTGGGTGATATGGGGGGGTGTGGTGTGGGCAGCAGGGGGTGGTGCGGGTGGGTATGGTATGGGTGGTGGTAGTGATGTGGGTGGTAATGGTGTGGGTGGTGGTTGTGGTGTGGGTGTGGTGTGGGTGGTGGTCGTGGTGTGGGTGATGTGGGGGTGGGTGGTGGTGTGGGTGGTAGTGGTGTGGGTGGTGGTAGTAATGTGGGTGTGGGTGATATGGGGTGGGTGGTGGTCGTGGTGTGGGTGTAGTGTGGGTGGTGGTAGTGGTGTGGGTGGTGCTTGTGGTGTGGGTGGTGGTCATGGTGTGGGTGGTGGTAGTGGTGTGGGTGTGGGTGGTGGTCGTGGTGTGGGTGGTGGTCATGGTGTGGGTGTGGGTGGTGGTCGTGGTGTGGGTGGTGGTCATGGTGTGGGTGTGGGTGGTGGTAGTGGTGTGGGTGGTGGTAGTGGTGTGGGTGGTGGTAGTGGTGTGGGTGGTGGTAGTGGTGTGGGAGGTGGTCGTGGTGTGGGTGTGGGTGGTGGTAGTGGTGTGGGTGGTGGTCGTGGTGTGGGTGGTGGTCGTGGTGTGGGTGTGGGTGGTGGTAGTGGTGTGGGTGGTGGTCGTGGTGTGGGTGGTGGTAGTGGTGTGGGTGGTGGTCGTGGTGTGGGTGGTGGTCGTGGTGTGGGTGGTGGTCGTGGTGTGGGTGGTGGTAGTGTGGGTGGTGGTAGTGGTGTGGGTGGTGGTCGTGGTGTGGGTGGTGGTCGTGGTGTGGGTGGTGGTCGTGGTGTGGGTGGTGGTAGTGTGGGTGGTGGTAGTGGTGTGGGTGGTGGTCGTGGTGTGGGAGGTGGTCGTGGTGTGGGTGTGGGTGGTGGTAGTGGTGTGGGTGGTGGTCGTGGTGTGGGTGGTGGTCGTGGTGTGGGTGGTGGTAGTGGTGTGGGTGTGGGTGTGGGTGGTGGTAGTGGTGTGGGTGGTGGTTGTGGTGTGGGTGGTGGTTGTGGTATGGGTGGTGGTAGTGGTGTGGGTGTGGGTGGTGGTGGTGTGGGTGTGGGTGGTGGTGGTGTGGGTGTGGTGTGGGTGATGGTCGTGGTGTGGGTGGTGGTCGTGGTGTGGGTGATGTGGGGGTGGTAGTGGTGTGGGTGTGGGTGGTGGTGTGGGTGTGGTGTGGGTGGTGGTAGTGATGTGGGTGTGGGTGGTGGTCGTGGTGTGGGTGGTGGTCGTGGTGTGGGTGGTGGTGTGGGTGCGGGTGGTGGTCGTGGTGTGGGTGGTGCCGGGTGGGTGGTGGTGTGGATGTGGGGGTGGGTGATACGGGGGTGGGTGGTGGTGTGGGAAGCAGGGGCGGTGCGGGTGGGTGGTGGTGTGGGTGGTAGTGGTGTGGATGTGGGTGTAGGTGGTGGGTGATATGGGGTGGGTGTGGGGTGGGCAGCAGGGGCGGTGCGGGTGGGTACCGTTGCTGGCGCGCTGCCGGATGGTCAGCATCTGCTCCCCAGACAGCTTCGCCTTCTTCATGGCTGACGTGGCTCGCGGGCAGCCTGACAAGCTGGGGACAAGATGGGAAATGCATTAGTCGTGGGTCTCGGGAGTGGACGCGGTTATGAGCGGGGCCAGTCACTGCGTCATCTCCTTCGGTTGCTGTGACTCAGGGCCATGTGGACACCGGCGGGGGCAGCGGGGCCTGGGGTCCCCCAGTGGTCAGTGGGCACTGACACGAGGTGGGATTTGAACCAAAGGCAAACACAGCAGACGCAGGCAGTGAGTTCACTGCACACTCAGGCCTCTCAGGGCAAAGCACACACCCTGCCCCCCCACCCCCAGGAGGCCACTTCCAAGTGTCAGGATCTCATCTGACAGCCTTGAAACCAGTGCCAATGTCGCCCAGTGGAGGGTTTGGTTCTGACGCCTGCCTTCCCTTGGCTTGGCCTGTGCTGAGCTGGTCCGTGGTCTCCTGCCTCCTCCTCACCGTGTGCGTCCTCTGCACCAGGAGCCCCTGCGCGGGCCCAGCTGGCCTCCCTCCCCTCGTCTGCCTGCGGGGCGAGGCTCCTCACAGGACCCTCTGCGCACGGCCAGGGGCCAGGGGCCAGGGGCACGTGACTGGAAGCTGCACACGCGTGTGCATGTAGTGACATCCGATGGACCACTGTGCGTGCGTCCTCCTCAGTGCTGTGCGGGCCGTGCATGCACCACCACGGACGGCGCGGACCGCTCTTGGCCTGACGGGCTCGGTGCCCACACTGACACCTGCGTTTCCTCGGGGGGTGAGCTCTCCGCCGCTCGCGGCTCACGCAGAGCCCGGTGCTGGTCCTGAGGGACTGCCCCTGGGTCGGGAGTCTCCATAACTGTTGCTCTTCCCTGGACTTTGCTGATGGTGCCTCCAGATTTTCAGGGGACCGGGCAGCGGGCCCTCAGCCCAGAGGGGTGTCACCAGCCCCAGCCCCAGCCCTCTGCATCCCTAAGGGCAACCCCCAGAGAATTCCAGGAGCAGATGGGGCAGGAGGCGCCGAGGGCCAGGCGAGTCACCTGAGGGCTGTCCGTCCAGTGGCCAGTCTCAGGGCTGTTTCCTGAGCTGACCTGCTCCTCAGGCTGCCCCAGCCCCTCCTCCGTCCCCTCAGTGCCTGTGCTTGTCCTCGCTGGGCCCTGGGCCTCAGCGCCTGCACCACCGTGAGCCCCCCGTGCTCCCTGATGGGCCACCCTCCTGGAGGGGCGCCTCTCCCAGCACAGCTGTGTCCTAGCAGCCCTCTGAGATGGGTCCCTCTGCAAGGCCCAGCTCCCGCCTCTCTGCCTCTCCGTCCCCGCTGGGCCACACGGCCTGCAGCCGGGAGTGCGCCCTCCCAGTGGACCCCCCTTCTCCCCAAGTCTGTCACTACATAGGGCCAGTCTGCCCTGCGCCCTCAGGACCGAGGCCAGGGCCCCACCCCAGCAGCCCTGCCTCTGGGCTGCAGGCTCCGCCTCGTTCGCATCCTTAGTGGTCTCTCCATCCTACCCAGAGGCCTGTCCTCTGTCCTCAGGGACCCAAAGGTCTGAGAGCTCAGCGGTGAGTGCAGATCAATCACATCACACACTGGGTGCCTCCACCAGTGAGTTCCTACCTGAGACCCAGGGGCCGGGATTAAGTTACCGAGCGCGCCGGCCGGGAGAGCATCGCAAACAGGAGCGCACAGAAGCCAAAGCGAGAAGCAAAGGGCTCAGTGGCTCCCAAACCTCGCTGAGGCGCAGGACCCACTGGTCTGTGCTTCCCTTAGCTTTCAGTCGGGTGATGTGCAAGCAGGCTGCAGGCGGCCCCACCCCGCCTGCCCGCGGTGACTGGGTGCCTGCCGGCGGCGGGTAGGTCTGGAACACCTGGCCCAGGCCTCCCAGGCGGGTCCCTGCGAGGGCGCAGTGCCATCTGGTGGCGGATCGGGGAAAAGCCACACATTGGTCTCTGCCTGGGCACTAGGCGAGCTTCAGGAAGTTTCCAGGAGGCAGTTCTGAAATGGAGGCCCAGAGGCCCCACGCAAACCTCTGACCGACGCTCTGGGCGTGGACTGCAAGCCACAGAACCGCAGGTCCGGCCGTCCTGTTCTGGGCAACATTAACCGTCCTGCCTCCCGCCTGGCCCAGGCGGCTGCTCTGGCGCCAGCACCAGGCACCCCAGGGCGGAACCCAGGGGCCTGGGGAGAGGCGGGGACCACGGGCCTTCCCCTGGACACTGCCCTGAAGGGCCTTCCCTCGGGAGACGCCACAGCTCAAAACAGCCGGCGAGCAGAAGTCCCAGGGTGTACGCTGCCGTGGGAGGAAGGAAGCATCTGAGAGCCACTGGGGGTGGGGGTGGGGGTGGGACACCTGCTCAGCGCCAGGGAGGTGGGGAGAGAGAGGGTGAGCACCCCAGACAGGCTCCGTGTGCTCAGCTCCCAGGACACGCACCCAGGTGCACGCAGCCTCCTTTGCACGACTGCCCATGACCTGCCTCACCGTCGGTTCTCTCCCCTCCTCCCCCCCAGATGACACCCTCAGTGAAGGAGGCCCAGGCAACTGGGCCTGTGTGGCCAGGCTCCCGGGTCCAGGAAAGGAGGCTGAGTCCGCAGGAGCCGCTCCTCATCGGGGACAAGAGGGAACCCCAAGATGGACGCTCCCGTGCCAGGCGTTGGGGCAGCAGGATGGGGCTGGCCCTGCGGTCGGGAGCCGCAGCCAGCCCCCCGTCGCTGACCATGAACTTTCCAGCGGCCAACACAGCCGCCTCCTGGTCTCTCACGAGGGTCAGCACTTGGTCTAGTGTTCGTCCTCGCTGGGCTGCGCCCCCCAATCAGCCCACGTCTGAGTGACGGGGACCCGTGACAGGGACCGTGTTTGGGAACGTGAACGCATCCGGATGGAGGAGGGTGGGTCCGGTGGGGCCCTGGCCGATGACTGGCGTCCCTGTAGGAGGAGGGCCATGTGGCACAAACAGAACAAGGCCAGGTGACGACGGGCAGAGACTTGAGGTGAAGCATCCTCCAGCCAAGGAATCCCCCGATTTCTGGCCCCAGCAGAAGCTGGGAGAGGCAAAGAGGACCTATTTATGGCCCCCAGATGTGCAGTGCACATCTGTGGGGATGTCAGGACGGCTCAGGGACGCACACAGTGAGTTCTTAGCTGGCGTTGTGCTCCTAGTCCAGGCGTGTTCCAGTCCCACAGGCTGCTTTCGGTTGTCAGTGTGTGACCAGAGCTGCTGGGTGCCTACGAGCCTGCAGGTGAATCAGGGCAAGTGGCAGGGCGTGTGGGGAAGCGATTCTATTGGGGGGACCCCATGGCACGGAGACTCGGACACTCTGGAGTCAGAGCTATCTGCCCAGCGGGGTCCTCGTGGCCCTGGAGTGGCCTCCTCAGGCCTGGTTCCTGGAGGGCGCCTGCGGGGAGCCTGAGCTGCGCCCGGCAGGCCCACTGTGAGGAGAGCAGGTGCATGGCGGCTCCTGAGTGCCAGTGGGGACACCGCTGGGGCCTTAGGATGCCCAGGCTGCCGGGCCTGCGGGCTCAGGCCGGGACCAAGCACACTAACAAGTTGGCCCTGGGCCTGGGGGATAGCGAGGCGGTGCGTGGCCGCGCTTCGGGGAGTTCAGGGGAGCACAGTGGCTGCTTGCCTGGCAGGGACGCCCGGGGTGGTGGTGGCTAGGGCTGCGGGGAGGGAGCCCAGCTGTGACCTGCAGCCTTTCCCTCTCACCAGCCCCGGGGGATTCAGTTGACAGTTGCTGGGTCTGAGCTCCTCCCTCCCAAGTGCTCATGGTCAGACACTAACTCGCTGATGAAAGAGCGAGCGCATCTGAGCTGGTTCAGGGCAGCGGTCAGCGGTCAGCGGTCAGCACAGGGCGGTGCCAGGAACTCGCTCCCAGGTGCATCCGACGGACCCAGCGGGAAGCCATCCTCCAAGGGGCAGTGAATTCAAATCCCTCCCGACTCTCCGTGACGGTGGCCCGCAGGCCGGGCTCGGGAAGGGGCTCTGAGGGCTCATCCTCAGGGTCTTCAGTGGGAACAGCTGGACCCAGAGTCCCCACTGGTGTCCTCTGCCTGGACCTGTGGTCCTGGTGAAAGAGGCCACGACGGCCGCTCCGAGAGGGGCACAGACCCACCCTCCTGCTCACTGCAGACACCGCTGAGGCCCGAGGCTCCCGGGCCTTCCGCCTGGAGGGGCAGCTGGGTGAGCAACCCACGGGGCTGCCCCTCCCTGGAGAGCAGGTCGTGACACATGTAGGTCTCGTTAATGACGGCTCCTTGAACACTTGCCCGCCAAAGCCAGGGGCTGGGTCTTACAGGCGTAGCAGTGAGCGCGAGGCCACGGGCCATGGACGAAGCCCACTGCACTCCCAGCCGACGACTTGAATGAGAGCATTGGCGACCACTTGTCACATTGTAAACTAGCATTTTGGTTCTAGGACTGTGTCTAGGGTGTGTTCGCAGGAGCCCCTGTAGTGTCTGTGGTAGGAGGCCAGTCCTGGCACCACCCACATCTAGAAAGGAGGCTGGCAGTTTGAAGGCGCCCAGCCCTCAGGGAGAGGCGGGGGAGGAGGAGGCAGCAGAGCTCCCAGTGGGTGGGTCATCCATCCCAGGACAACGCAGACCATCTGCCAGTCCTGCCCTGTGCAGATGTCTGACACACTGTGACCTGTTTGCAGGGGAAACACTGTGACTTGTTTGCAGGGGAAACACTGTGACCTGTTTGCAGGAGGAAACACTATGACCTGTTTGCAGAGGAAACACTGTGACCTGTGTGCAGGGGAAACACTGTGACCTGTGTGCAGGGGAAACAGTGTGACCTGTTTGCAGGGGAAACAGTGTGACCTGTTTGCAGGGGAAACACTGTGTCCTGTTTGCATGGGAAACACTGTGACCTGTTTGCAGGGGAAACACTGTGACCTGTTTGCAGGGGAAACACTGTGACCTGTTTGCAGGGGAAACAGTGTGACCTGTTTGCAGGGGAAACACTGTGACCTGTTTGCATGGGAAACACTGTGACCTGTTTGCAGGGGAAACACTGTGTCCTGTTTGCATGGGAAACACTGTGACCTGTTTGCAGGGGAAACACTGTGACCT